TGATTATTAAATTTCCTTTTATTTTGTTGAATAGTTAGGATGGGACTTTGTGGTGTAATGCTATATAACCCATTTATCAAATTTCCGGAATAAATAAAAGTTGTATCTTTGAAAATGGAACATCTTCCATTCTCAATAATGAACTTAAAACCTTCTCTATCCAGAGTTGGAATAGAAATAATATTTTTTATTAAATTCGGAACATACAAACAATTTGAAAGACAAACTTTTACACCATTATTTAAAGCCAGATAAACAGTCCCAATTGCTTTGGCAGCAACCTTTGCTCCATTGCCCATCCTTAGGATTGTTTCATTATCTTCTAGCTTGTTACTTCTTGCCATCATCTGCAAATCATTGCAAATATGTGAGCCACAGCCAGTATCAAATACCCAAGAAGACTGATAAGTTAACTTCAACAAAATAAATACCTGAACTTTTCAGGCTAGCAAGATACTCCTTGCAGTTCCTCTTCCAGTGCCCAGTTTTACCACAATGATAACATTCATGATTCGACTGAGGTTTAACCTTTTCTTTGTTCTTCCCTTTGTCGTTATTTGCCTTCTTATTAGGTTTATTGAGAACCTTTCCTTTCCCCTTCCTTTTCTTAGACTTTACAGTCTTTGATCCAGAAGAGGATCCAACAAGAAGCACCTGCTTATCCTTTTTAATTGTGGATTCAGCCGTCTTTAACATGTTCACTAACTCTGGGAGAGAAGTCTCCATGTTATGCATGTTAAAGTTAACGACAAAGCTGTCAAATGACAGAGGCAGAGATTGCAGCATGAGGTCCACATAGAGTTTATTATCCATAATGATTTCTAGGGACAAGAGTCTTTCAACAAGAGCTATCATCTTCAGCCCATGATCATGAACTGAAGAGCCCTCGGTCATACGACACCTGAAAAGTTCCCTAGATATCTGATATCTAATCTTCCGCGTCCTATCACCATACAACTCTTGTAAGTGTAGGAGTATTTCAGAAGCATCATTCAGTAATTCGTTCTGTCTCTGCAACTCATTAGACATTGATGCTAACATGTAGCACCGAGCTTGGAGATTGTCATCTTTATGACGTAAATACGCTCCATACTCATCCGAGGTCTGATCTTCGGGTGGAGGAGGAGGAGCTGTATCCAATACATAATCCCTCTTCTGTAACACCCCGCTATTTGTAATACATCAGAGTGCGCGGGTTTTCCACAAATTTTCTGAATAACTAAATAAAATACTTATTATTGCGAAAACTGATCGGGATGCTACCGTGAAAACTTTATTTTCTGAAAACCGTTCAAATTTTAAACTGATAAATAACAACGGTCATAATGTCTTATCCGATAAACATTGGAATAAAGTCTGAATAAAAGTACTGAAAAGGTTTAGCGGAAGTGTAGCGTGGCAAAAACATAAAATACAATAAACATGAAAGTCCTGAACAGCTCGCCCGCTCACTCCTCATCTCCGACCCTGCGTCCTGAAAAACATGAAAGATGTGGGGCGTGAGCACTAAGGCACTGTGCTCCGCAGAAACTCATGCTAATGTAAAACATCGTAAATAATAACATGATCATGAACTGAGCATATATAACTGAACTGAATCTGAAACTGATAAACCGGTCTGATCTCGCGACATAAGTCACGTAACTGATAACTGAATCTCGCAACATAAGTCGCGTAACTGATAACTGAAAATCTCCCGGCAAAACTAACACCGTACCATGTGCACACTCTAGGGGCTAGATCAGGCCACTAGAACTCAGAATGGACCGGCGACCATTCCGAGCGGATCTGAATATACATACCTCGACCATGGTAACGTAATTATAAACCATGTAGTACTTAGTCTGAGTCCCCACTTGAATTTGCTGAAAACTGAAACTGAGTGGTTGTGCTGATGCCTGATCAAACTGAAAATAATATAAACAATTACTATTGGCTATGCTCAGACTGATAAATTTAACTGTTTTATTATGTTAAGATGCTTTCTTGAATCTGACATAACATTCGGACTTATTCGGTATAACTGAAACCGGCTAAGTATGAAACTAAGCTGATAATAATTAACTGAACTGAACTTGACCCAAAAATTTAACTGAAAATAACACTGAAACTGAAAATTGGGACTGAAACTGAAAATAACTGACTGAACTGGTCAAGCCGGTCCGAACCGGCCTGGACCGGACCGCCGGTCCGCTGAACCGGGCGGTCGGGCTAGCTCGGCCGGCGGCCT